AGAATGTTTTCCTGCATATTATATAATTTAAATAGTAAATTATATAGGAAAAAACATTAAGAATCTGTCAGCAAGGAAATGACATTTGTCTTTCCTGGTATTCAATTCTTATCAGATTGGATGCATCTTTATTATATGTAAATTAATTGCAATTCTGTAATACCTCCCCGAATACTTGAAAAGCAAACTAAATAAGACCAGGCAGCACACAGAACAACTGAAAAGGGCTCACCAGCCTCCAGTCAGGCTGACCGTACCAAGGTTTGTGAGTTTGTGTGGTTTCAGCTGATTAGGAATTGTCAATTCTGAACGGGTAATATGGATTTACAAAGGAATGACACACTTAACTGTACTGACTTACGAGCACAAACAACACACAATCCATCAGCAATCTCAAACCTGTGCACTTCCTCCTGCGAACATCTGCAACATCTGCTGCATGAGCTGCTGCTGGGCGGAGCTGCTTCCTGTGGGCCCGGTCACGGGGGTGGGGCCTTGGCTGGGCCCGCCCCCCGAGGGGGCGGGGTTCTCCGGGGGCCCTGTCCCCCCAGCGGAGAGTGGGGAAACTGGGAATCCCCCAGGCGTCAGGCTGTGGGAGGAGGAATGCCACAGGTTAGGACGGCGATCGAAAGACTGGCCATTCCGAGGAAAATGGCTTTTTGGGGCTGAACACAGAACCTGGCTTTAAGAGGACTGCCGATGTTTCTGAGAAAAGAGATGCTTCTTAGCATGTAGGTCACCAGACAGAAGCACATCATTATTTCCATACTCAGCACTAAAGAGAGGAAAGACTGTGGTAATTTTTTATCTTCGCTCTACCTTCTTATCACTTTCTAACCCACGATGTTGGGAGGTTAAAAGTGAAAAGGTCAGGGCAAAGCTGCAGTGAGGATGTTAAGATGCAGGTTTCAAGGCATGTGAAGCTCAGAGACCGTCTTGTTGATATTGGTGGCAATTTTTGATTTTCTTTAGAAACATGTTTTAAAACAGTCACCGTGCAGAGTATCGGTACTGATCACACAACATCACCCTCATAAATCAGTCTTCCTTTGCTGGGAGGACACTGCTGTTAGGGGCCATGTGGTAATGGCTTCTCTGTTCTTCGAGTGCAGTGTCTGGAGTGCTCTTCCGGTCCCCAGCGCAACCCCAGAGAGCCGTGGGTGTCTCTGACTGCAGAAGGAAGTACCGACGGCAGCGCTGGGACAGCTGCCCCACTGCTGGCGTACCTGGGCATGAGGCCTGGAGCCTCCGTCTGCAGCGTCTGCAGCCCCTGCTGGATCTGGAGCAGCGCCTGCATGGCCCGAGGGTTCGTCATCACCGACAGCGCCTCGGGATTCTGCATCTGCGCGGCAGGGAAAAGACATCATTGCTGCAAACTCAATCTGAAACCAGGAGCTTTCCATCTTCACCGACTCCATGTGACCGTGGCTTTCTCATGAATTTAGACTCGATGATTTGTCTGTATTACATTCACCCAATTGGGAATACACAATCGCGTTTCTCATGTCCGGGGAGACTGAGGAAGTGAAGGCTGACTCCTCTGAGCCGCCCACCTCTGAGCCAATTGCCTTTTGACACATCACAGGCAGCACCGCCCCACACTGGAGGTTCAGTGCTGATTGGAGGAGAGCTATGTCCCTCACTGGCAACACCGCGTGCCTACAAGCCCCTGGGAGGTGGGAGGGTTCACGGTGTCGCCAAGAGCCGGGAGAGCGCTGGCCGACTTGGCCGACTCATCCTGCCCTCAGCCAACTGAGCTCCTCCGCTTGGGGAATCCCAGTCACAGTCAGCTGGTGCCATGACATGTCTGTCGTGTTTTTTCTCTCTACCTGCTATAAACTCAAGAGTGAAAAAACAGATCTGTATGTTTTCTGTTCTGTATCAGAATGGTCATATGTTTCAGGTTTCCTAGACTGAACAGCATGACAAAAGTTATATAGTGTAACATATATCTGATATTAAGTACACGTGTGGCCTGTTAAAGAAATTGATTAAATGTAGACTGAGTTTTACAGTAAATATGAAATCATGTGGTCAAGGCAGGATCTTGTGAACCTTTGTTTCACTAATTTGAGGGGGCTGTTTCTCCAATGCCATTACTCAACATTTAATACCACTCTTGGCTTCCAAACTGGGAGTTTAAATAATCCCTCTCTTTTCGGCACAGACCGCCTTCTGATGAAAAGCCAATCCCGGAGCACAGAGTGAATCTTGAATCTGAAACCACTCTGCCGCTCAGATCCCAGCCTCTTACCTGCTGCAGAAACACGGGCAGCTGGTGTCTTAACTGCTCCTGCAGCTGAGGATTGCCAGCGAAGAGAGGGTTGTTCATCATAACCTGTCAGAATCGCGAAACAAGAGCAGGCATACCTGAAGTTACTCCTTACAAGATTTCTTCAGATTGACTCTTAAAAGAACAAGTGCCGAGCTCCTAAAATACACCTATCCTCCTACTTTTGGAACTGGCAAACACTTCTTTTTACAGTTCACATGGCAACATCTTTGGTTTTCTTTTACCTCCATTTTTATGACTTTAAAATTGAAAATGGCACCTGTGCTCCCCTTTTGAGCCGAAGGGACAAAATGAATGATGGGAAGGCAGCAGCGCAAGGACAATGCCTGCTGGGAGTGCTGCCGTTTCTGGGAATCTTGTGCCATTCTCTCTGAGGAGGGCCTGAGTGCATTTTTACTAGAAAATGTCCCGGCTGCGTCCTCAACATTTTAGAGGATAAGACGAAGTATTCCAAAACCTGCTTTCGTAGTGTTTAGAGCAGAAAATACACCAGGATACATTATTCTCACTCCAGAAGATGTGCTGGTGTAAACTATTAAATGTGACAATAATTCTACCCTACTTTATACTTCCAAGGTTTGGGCAAGGAATTAAACTGGAGATTTGTATGTCTATGTTCATGAAGGCAAAGAAATCAGGAATTCATATCATGTACAGCGTATGTTTGAGTGGACGATGGAAGAACATGAGAGACTTGAGGCTGAGATCAACCCAACACTGAACGCACATGCTGTTTCGTGTGAATTCGCGTGTAAATGAAATGTATATGTGGGACGGGTACAAATTGAGTTTTGGGTGAGCAGAAGGTGAGAGGCAGACTGGACTGCACACCTGCGCTGCAATGTCAGGGTTCTGTGCCAAGGACTGCATCATACTGCGCATGTAGGGCGCGGACAGCATGTTCTGCATGAGCTGGGGGTTTTCCGAGATCTGCTGCAAGAGGCTCTGCATGCCGGGACTGTTGAACATGCCTACAGAAAAAAAAAAAACAAGGACAAAGGCAGAGGTGAGATGAAAGAAGACAAACCGATCCGAGAGTCAGTAATCAGCAGGAGCAGGACAAGAGTGGAAGAGTGAAATATTCCTGTCCTTTTCCGATCCCTAATCAATGCACAAGTCGATGATTACTGTGACACATACAGTACTCCACCAGTGCAACTGCAGGGGAGTCTGAGGAGGGCAGGGCACCCGAAGCTCACCATGCAACAGCAGATCCACTGACTAGCAGGACACCTGTGAGCTTGCAGGTCTGGCCGTGAGAGCTGTACCCATCTTGCAACAGATGCTAGCTCAGCTGTAGGCCCTGCATGGGCCAGCAGCAAGAACAGCAATCAGCCTTCGCACGAATGTGTGTTCAGGGGAAACGCATGCACAGTCATTTTTACACACAGGTGTAAAAAAAAAAATCGAGACAGGCTGCCAAGTCACTCCACCAGTTACAGTGCTTTCTCAAGGGTGCGGGATGAGTCTCGCTGGCCCAGATATTACAGGTGTGAGCCTGACCTGGGTCAGGTCACTAAATGATGCTGACCAGCATTCCTCAAGTGCTGATCAAGGTACAGACGGACATCAGCTGGCTGGTGTCGTCTTGGTATTTGATAAAACAGTGACTGGACTTGATGCAGGCCTATAGTGACAAATACTGTTACCTATAATCTTTTTAGGCAATACAATATTAAATATTTATTTTCACAATAATAGCGCCATCAAGAAACTCCAAGTGCATATTAATTAGTGACAACTGAAAAATATGTAAATATGAAAAAACATTGAAAAAGGTTTAATAATTCACTGTTAATAGGAGCAAGTGGAACTCATTACTGATAAAAGACTATTAGAGGGACCACAGGTTAATTTGCTGCAAATTAAGGACAACAACCGAGATTAAATCAATTTGTCCCAATAACAAACTACTGGGTGAAGCCCTGTGGAGCTGGCGGCAGGTCAGAAGATGAGACAGCTCTGAGAGGTGTGCGTGAGTCCCCAGCCTCCCCGTGCAACCCAGCAACTGCAGTGCCCAGGACATCGCTACTAGAGAAATTCTTAAACAGCGATTCCGAACCAGCGGGGCACCGACGAGAAAACAGTGAAATTATTTTCAGTAAAAAAAAATCAAGAAAAAACGAAAGCAAATCTATGAATACATCTTTCAATGGCATTTTTTGTTTGAAAAAGCGGAGAAGATTAAGAATTGTCAACTCCACATTCAGGGGGATATGAAATAAGTAACTGGCAATTCCTAACATGCAAATAAAGCAGAAATGAGAGAGACGACGCCTGCCAGTAACTTCTGGCTGCAGGGGTACGGAGTGACGGGTACCGTTGCCCAGGTTGGCGGCACTGATGCCCAGGGGGTTGGATATACTGGGGGTGCTGCCCCCCTGGGTTGAAGCGGCGGAGCTGCTGCTGCTGCTGCTGCCGCCCCCGGTCTCGGTGGTCGAGGTGGGGGCCGCGGTGCTGGGGGGGCCCCAGGGGTTCGGCAGAGGCTCCCGGTTCTCCGTCCTGGAAGGCTGCACCCCCGAGCTGTCCGAGCTCCCGCTGAGCGCGGAGAAAGGGTTATTTCCGAACTGCCGCCAGAAAAAAAACAGAACAGGAACAACTTCACTCCAGTTCAGGGACGCCACGCGCAGAGGAAAGGGGCCCTGCCAGTCCTGCGGACTGTGGGGAAATAAACCCCAGAATCTTATCCAGTGGCTCCTCAAGGGATCCCAGAGTCAGGAGTGTAGGAAGAAGTGTGTCTGACTTATCTGCCCTAAATGCAACCACTAGTGATCCTGTAGCTTTAATTTCAGGCATCACAGAATGATGACGAATTTAAGACACCAAGTGGAAGGAACATTAGGTCATTCAAGACTTAAGTCTCTCAAAAAAATGGTCTGAATATCGAAGGGTTGTTCGTCTAAAAATCTGAAGAGCCTCAAATCTGTAGTGCTATTCTGAAATTAATATAACATTTAGTGCCCCTTTAAAATGACTGATTTTGTGCCGTTAGATTCTTGCAAATCTTTAAATCACTCAATTGAGCTCATTATTAAAAATGAACTAAATAAATATTAAACCCCAGGTTCACAATCTTTGAGCATGATTAATCTACTGCTATAATTCTGAATATTCAATCTCTATTGATAGTAACAGATTTTCAACATATTAGTATCAATCTTCATAAAACAACAGAAATAAAACCAATGAAATTATTGATAACTGCATTTAACTGTAACATCTAGTCCGCTGTAAAATATTTTTCCATACGTTTGCTCCACAGCGGAGGAATACCTCAACACATTCAATCCTGGAGGTCATTAAATGCCTTTTCTGTAGTCTGTGCTTTTGAAGATGAATACAAACAAGCCTGATAAATCCTTATCAACAGATCAAGGACAAGAGCTTCTCGTAGAAAAATATCTGTTCCTCGTCTTTGTTCCCCATTCGTACTACCACATGGAAAGTAATGGATACCTTTCAATAGTTTTTTAAATTAGTAAAACAATTGGTCAAAGGCATATTTGTAGAGACATCAAGGTTCATCACAAAATAACCCCACATGCAGTATCGTTTCAGTACTTTAGTAGCTAACAGCAGATCTCGAAAAGAAATATGCTTCTCTGTCAACTGTCTTAATTGGGGTAAAAGTGGACTCATTTTCACTTTAGATGTTGATTCAAGCATTACAAACATTTTAGTTTTGAACATCTGGATACATCCAGAGTACTGATTTGCGTGTACAGACTATGTGCTGTGGAGAGAAAGACATAAGCTACACTCCTGCTGTGTGAACTAAGAATCTCAAAGGTTTGGCACCTGGTGTGTTTTTACCAAAGGCGTCATGTCCTACCAGGCATTTGTAAGCCTGCACATGTGACACACAGCCACACAGCGCCATGACTGTCTCCAGGCGTCAGGTCCGCCTACCTGCTCCCGGGCAGCGCTGAACATGGGCTCCTGGATGTCCGTGTACATCCTGCGCAGGGCGTTGTACCCGCCTGGGATGCTCTCCAGGTTGCTGAGCGCCCGGTCCTGGTTCCTCATCATCTCCTGCATCATCGCCGGGTTCCGCGCCAGTTCCATCGTCTGACAACCAGAACACAACAGGGCCAAGCTCAGAGCAAAGCTGCACAGATCTCCCCCATGAGGGTCACGCGGTCCCCTTCCCTTCCAACCCGGCCCGACCTGGGCTACTGAACCGAGTCGGATGAAGGCTTGTGCTGGATCTGAATTAGGCCAGGATTATAAGAGATCAGAACTGCTGTAATGGCAACCTATGTGGCCCAGACCTGGACATCAGCTTCACAGTGGGCCTGAGCTCCGGTTGTCACACGAAATGGGAGAGAAGGTATCCCTGGATGAATGTCAACAACAGTGCTTAAGGATGCACTCTAAGAACTCTTGAGCTAAATGTGCATCAACTCTTAGGGATGAGATGAACTCTTCAGTACACCTGCTAAGCTCACCTGAAAGTCTTAAATAAGTAAATTTGAAATGTTTCAAAGCAACTTTCAGAGATATCGCAGTCTGCACAAGCTATTCTTCTAAGGCCGAATGAATGGGTTTTAATGTGAATGCCCAGATGTCAAAGGAGAAGTGTTAATGACAATTCACTCCCAGCATACAACATACTAGTAAAAAGCTCCCATTGCAATATTAATATTAATAACAAGAGGGGCAGCAAGGTGTCTCAGTGGTGAGCATTGCTGCCTCGCTGCGCTGGGGCCCTGGGGTGCTGTCTGTGTGGAGTCTGCATGCTCTCCTTGTGTTCATTTGGGTTTCCTCCACTTTCTCCAGTCTCCTCCTAAAGTCCAACGACCTGTCTGTGACCCTGGCCCAGATGTGGGTGTGTGTGTCTGTGTGCCCCTTGGTGGGCTGGCATCCCCACCCAGGGTGTACCCCGCCTTGAGCCTGTTGCTTAGTGGGATAGACTCCGGCTCCCCCACGATCCTGTACCGGGGGGGGTGTTAAACGTCAATAGGCAGAGCCTGCTCCCATGTCTCGAACCGGGGGCCCAGGTTGCGGACGAGCTCCGGCGCTGCAGACCTCCCTCACCTGCCTCATGAGCTCAGGGTTGTTGAGCATGTGGCTGATCTCCGGGTTGCGCTCCATCAGCTGCTGCATCTGGGGGTTGGCCATGATCATCTGGCGCATCAGGTCCGGGTTGGACATCATGTTCTGCACCAGCGGGTTCTCCATGATCTGGGACAGCATCTCCGGGTTGGACATCAGCTGCCGCTGCATCTGCTGCTGCAGCTCCATGAAGTTGGCCGAGCCCATGCCCAGGCCCCCCAGGCCGGCCAGGTCCCCGAACCCCGCTGTGGGCACACGGACGGAA